CCAAAGCGCTTTACAATGCTACTATTCATTCACTCTCACATTCACACACTGGTGGAGGCAAGCTACGGTTGTAGCCACAGCTGCCCTGGGGCAGACTGACAGAAGCGAGGCTGCCATATCGCCCCAGAGGGGCCTACTGGTGTTGGCCCCTCTGGCCAGGGTAAAGTGTCTTGCCCAATGACACAACGACAAGGACAGAGAGCCCGGGGATCAAACCGGCAACCTTCCGGTTACAGATACGCTTCCCAACCCCCTGAGCCACGGTCGCCCCAAATGTTGATGTTTCTGTCAATGCGTAAACTGCTGAGCTTTTTTCTTTAAATGCTGCGGTCGATTCCTTTAGGTCATCCTTTCGTTTTTGTGCCTTGGAAAGCAGACATTTCTCTTTACCTGGACCTGCCAGGTCTGCTCATTTACTTCTACCTTAAAGCCAATACAACAAAACCCTTGGCTTCCCTTTTTCTGTGAGTAAACATCTAGACACTCTGCAATATTGACCTCTACACTGAACAGAGACTGCAGGTACAAGCTCCTAACTTAAAACTGCTCACCAAGAACAGAAGCCAAGACCAGTAGCACACATACTTCTTACCTGTGAGATACACAGAGAGAAGATAATACTGCACACTGCACACACACCATCTTTTAGTGCTGACGGTCCACTGGCTTTGTCCAATCACAGCTGTCCCTTCTGATTGATTGCATGTGGTTTGATGAGCCCTGTGGGAAACAAGCTCCTGCAGTGGTTAAAACAGATTTTTTTTTTCTTTTGTAAATTTATGTGTGGTGATAAATTGTTGTGGGTGTTGGCTCTGTGTTTGGTTTAGCGGTACGTCTGTGTGTTGGTGGATGTGTGACAATTTGTCCGCGGTTTAACGCTTCTGTTCAGACATTTTTCGAGAGCAGTGCTAAACAAATGTTAGCCTCGGTCTCTTTGCTCTAAAAAACAAAACTACTGGTTCATACAAGGCAAAATATTGATATTCAGACCAACTAATCAGAACAGTTTAGCATCAAACTCTGAACGAAAAGGCTTTAAGGCAGGACTTAGTAACCGACAGAAGTCACTTGTATCAAAATTACAAGATGTTATCTTTAGAAGGTCAGAAATGGCCAAAATGTAGGAAGATCCTTAAAACTAATTATTAAAAAACAAAAAATAACAAAAACAGTAGATGTGCTAGATTTCTGTTTCACTGGAATTAGGTTGGAGGGACTTTTTTATGAAGGAGTATTGGGCCACCTTAAAAAAAAAGGATTCTTTTCATTATTATTGTTCATTTAAGAATAAAGTGGAAATACTACGTTGAGAAATACTATTTTAAAGCCCATTTTTAATCTTTACATTTTGAAGTCAATACGTGGAAATTAAATTTGTGTCGTTTCAAGTCATGACCACTATACCCACTATAAAAGGTCTTCTGTAGATGAGTTACCCATATGGAAAAGATATATATAAATCTTATAAAGTTTTTATCTGTCTTGTGTAAAACAAGAGTGAAAACAGATATAAGATCCCTTTAAAAATTATATAAATGAAACTTGTATGTTTTGGATACTTACTAAAACAATATATGAAAGTAATGAGAAAGTGGCCACTTTCATGAGTAAATCATATAAGCCTTATATGATTTACTACATGAAGTAGGCCACATCTTATGCAAGTCTTTACTATTGCTTTTCCATATGGGTAAGTACAGTTAGGTATGAGGATGGTGAAAGCTGCATGTGGTCAGAAGGAAAAACTACACAAACCTGGAAGAGTTGGAAGAGCTAGCCGGATTGCGCAAAAAAAATAGCTGGCAATGGACAGATGCAAGGATATCAATGGTTACACTCTTGTGCAGTAAAGAGGGGTATGGTTTATTACAGCAATAACAGGCCAGCTGATCAAGTTGTTTTGTTAACTCATCTACACAAGTCATTTTGTAGAGCAGTGTTTCCCAACCACTGTCTATGTGCCGCGAAAAATGATCAGGTGTGCCGTGGAAGATTATCTGGTTCCACCTGATTAGTACTCGAAGCGCCAGCGTGAGTAACGGGCAGAACAATTACATTCTCTACCACTAGAGGGCAGTACAACTACCTGCTGTAATGAAATGGGTTGCCAACTGTGCAGTGTAGGAGTCGTGGATAATAGTAAAATATTATGTAATTTCTTCTTGGTAAAACACCAAGAAGAAATTACATAATAGTCATGCTGTGAGTGAGAAAACGCAGCGCGTAATAGCAATAGATAAATATTTGAAAAGAAAAAGTAAACAATCTGACCTGGGTCCTGGAGAAAATTCCAACCCAGATGAAGGCCGCAGTACGAGTAGTGGTCAGAAAAACAAAGGGACAAACTGAACCAATTCTGCTATACCTGGTGCGTGGGGAAAAATGATCAATATGCTGTTTGTGACATTTTTGTTTGATGGTGTGCCGTGTGATTTTTCTAATATGAAATATGTGCCGTGGCTCCAAAAGTTTGGGAAACACTGCTGCAGAGTATACCAGCTGAAGCACTTGTTAGTTGAAACAAAAAGTTTAATGTCAAAATTTTGACTTTATTCTCAAAATATTCAATAATATTGAAACCCCACCATTTTGTTCCCTACTACTCCGTTGTCCATAACAGTTAAAGAGAATGTAAAACAATAACGTAACAGTTTGCAAACTGGACCCTTGAAATTAAATACAGAAACATTACTTACTACTATTACTTTGTAACACCCTATAAACTACTGAAATGTAACTTTTAACATCTTGTTTTTTTGCTCTACTCAGTGCGAGGAAGCTAACTAAACTAAATGTAGACAGACATCCTGGGTCTACTTAAAAGGCTTGCAGCTGGGTTCTTTATAACTTGAAGGTGACTGAGGTGTTCACAATATCGCTTACCTTAAAACTAATTGCTACGATTTCTTGCAACTAGTCACCTTCTCTTTTGAAAAAAACTAGTAGACTGACTTGATCAGTTGATTGACTTGATCAGCCAGCACCCAATAACAAAAGCTTCTGTAAGGTTGAAGGAGCAATTCAGACATGAAAAAAAAATCATGTTTTGATCAAATCATTGTTTGACTTTGTGTCTAACAGGAAGGTACAAGTGGCAGATAACCCAAATCTATGAATAATCTGTTTTAGAGGAAGAATGGAAAACGATAATGTTCCAAACTGGACCCTTGAAATAAAATAAAGAAGGATTACTTACTATTCTGACTTTTACTACTACTACTTCTAACCTGTGATAGCTGTCTGGCGTTTAACACAGATATTAAAGTAAAAAGCTAATAAAACAACAGTTTTATCCTGTTTTTTGAAGTGGCTATTCACCTGGGTAAAGCCAAAGCCATTATCGGTTAATGCTAGTAGGACCACTGCAGAAGTTTCCATCCATCCATTCATTGTCATAACCACTTATTCAAAAATAGGGTTGCAGTGCAGCAGATGGCGACAGTTGGGGTAAACCCTGGAAAGGTTGTCAGTCCATCACTGGGTTAACGCGTAGATGGAGAACCATTCATCCCCACGCTGACACCTAGGGTTAATTTAGAATCATAAGTTAAACTGTTAGCAGTCGGACGTACCGCCCACGGGACATTGGATGGTTTAGGGGACTAATAGGACTGCTAAGGGGTTAAACTAAAATCCATGTGACTGGACTGTGAGAGGAAGTCACTGTACCCAGTAGGTGCATAAATTCTATCGTGATATGTTGATATCTGTTTTTAGAAATTACTGCTACTGTAACTACCACATATCTTCAGCTTCACGTTTCTTTCTGCGAGACAACAAATGAAGCACTCTAGATGCAGGAACGTGATGAGCAAGGTAACAACAGAAGACTGCAGTAGCCCTCGACTCTCTTTACATATTTTCCCCATCCTTTAGAGTTTAAGGGAGATCAGTCTGGGGTACAAAATAGTAGATTTAAGTGCAGAATTAAATGCAAATTGGTCTCTCAAAGATAGCATGCCCAACACTCCCGCAGTAAACAAATACGATGTGCAATATATCCATTCCTCCTTTGTTTCTCTCCAATACTCATGGGAAGTATCAGGAAAGTAATTTGTTAGTTCAAAAGGAGGTGCATGGTGATTAGGTCCTGAGGCTTTTCTGCACACAGTTTATTCACTTTGCTACCACAGAGGTCTGACTCACTGGGTCGGCATTCTATTAATCCAGCATCCACCTGGCACCCTCACACATATTAATGGAGTCTTTGGGATCTGGTGTAGCGCAACAAATACAAACAGGGACGCTGAGGTTCAACTGCAGCGGATTTGTAAATAGGAAGCAGCATGTGGCAGAGGCTAGAAGAGAGTAATTATAGGAGCTCGTGAAAAGTCGGTGAAAGACAAAGGACAACTTCAAAGACTGTAAATGAAGAATGATGGAGAACAAAAGAAGACCAAATCTCTTCAGCTGTTCTGATAAAAGTCAAACTGTTTTAGTGACTTATAGAGATGCTACAGTGGAGTATGTTTTATGGAATTTTGCATATTTGTATGTACTTGTGAAAACCGTAGAACCAGCAACCACACTGAAGCTCTTAGCTGTTAATGAGTCACAGCAACTCCAAAGTTTTGAACTCATATTCGGGCCAGGTTCTCCTAAAGACAAAAAAAGTTTCATGTTACTGTTTAACTTTCAGTTTTTCAGTGTGGTTTCTCTTTGAACTCTATCACTTCTCCTTGCATGGCAACGCTTTACTCCAATGACCTTCCCCACCTGTTACCTGTGAGCGCCCGTCTCCGGGAGCACGAAGACCACACCCCCACCCACCTGCTTACAAAGAGAGGTTGCTTCTACTGACTGATCCGCAGTCAGGTCTGAACCAGAACTGACGTTAAGCAGAAAGTAGAGGTAGCTGAGCAGCGATCTGTGTTTAGAGGCAACGTCAACCCACCTGCTTTCTCTTAAATCTTGCAAAAATCCCCCCAGATATTTTCACAGATGTTTTGGTTTTTTTTTTTCTGTAACACTTTTTATGTGTGCTTTTTTTGTGTGCCAAGGGTGATGCTTCTAAATCATGCTCAGAGATTGATTCCTTTGCACGAAGCATGGAGGACGTCAACGGCAGCAAGAAGGATTTATCGGCCTCTGCAGGTGAGGCATGTCCATCTGCTGTTCATACAGCATGTACACAGACTACATATATTGATTTTAGCTCAACGGGAACAATTCAGTTCAAGCCTGTGGGATTCATTTAAAGCCCCTATTACGAACATTTGTTTAAACACCCGCCATCTGTGCATTTGCATTTTTCCCTCTCCTATCTTTGCTAGACTCCTGTGGATTACACACTGTTGCAATTCTTTAAAAATTGCACGTAAAAGTTTGTGATACAGCAGTAAGTTAGGCCTCAGGCATTTAAAAAGTACCCTGTGAAAACATTCCTCAGGCTTCTGTAGTCTGTAACCTCCTATTATCATTCTCTTCTCCCTCTTCCGACCACTCTTGGTGGGCACGTGCCCGGCTGTCTCTCTGCACAACATCAAATCGGCAGAGTGGCCTCATTCATAATTCCTCATACCATCCCCTCTAATAAGTGTTGGCCAAGACTGAAAAGCCCAGTGGATACACTACTATATGTATAGAGTACAACTCCCAGATGTACTGTATCATCTCCCCTTCAGCCCCTTCAAATGCTCTGTGTAAAACTGCTTACTTAGCTGGAAGAGCCTAACATCTTCTAGGCCTCGGATAAAGTTTCGAAGACGGAGGAATTAGCGTTATTAAAATTGCATTCCCCTGCACGTCATGCATTTGTGTTGCTGCCAAACATAATATTCTCTCCTACGCATCCCATAAGATTAATGCCCTCTTGAAATATTCATGTTGCTCAATAACAGTAAGAGGCATATATTTGTTGTTTTTTATAGTCACTGTATGACTGAGGGTGTACCACATTTTCCCCTATTCCTGCTTTTTCTCATGTCTTTATTCAGTTTATCAATTTCACCACTGTAAAGTGTTGTTTTTGTCCTCTTTTTTCATTCACTTTTCTTCTACTAGTAGTGCCTGCAAATGGTCATGTGGACCTGAAGTCTAACCTGACTCCACCGCTAATTACCCACACTGCTGCCACCCCCATGCCCGTACCAAAGTTGCCCGTGGGAGGTGAATCCAACCCGGGTTATGAGACTCGTCGAGGCAGCAGCAGTTCTGTAGACCCAGCCTGCTATGAGAAATCACCGGTTTGTGTATTTATTTAATATTCTCATGTACAAACAAAAGGGCATGCCAATTTTCATCTAATAACCATGGACTGTATTTAAAACATGGATGTAGCTACTATAACATCACCCTTTGGCTTGTGGACTGCTATTTAGAAACATAGTTTAAGTAGCTAGCCAGTGCTAAGAACTTAACATCTGATTGTTGGGTTTCTCTGTATTAGTGTACAGTCTTTACCTTACAATATTAACCTACTGCTGACTGTTGTTGTGATTTGGCACAAAGCTAATGAAACTGAATTTATTTAAATTGACTCAAAACTATACTATGTACTTGTTAAAAGCTAGTTGGCTTGGTTAGCAACATGCTAGACTTTGTTACTTACTTTGTTACTAGCTAGCAAAAAAAAAAAGGCAACATCAAGGCCCCCAGTATGTTGCTTGAAGGCATAATTTAGCTATACACACTAGCCCCGATTTTTGTGCCAGTGTTAAAACATGCTCATTAAAAGTCTATGGCATTTGACAGTTTGGTGGGGTTGAGGTGAGCCCCTAGTGGCCGTTAGAGGAAGTTTAATTTTTGATACCACCCTACGTTCATTTTGGCTTCCTTTTTAAACCTTTTGGAAGTTACTGCTGGGTAATAATCCAGTTCCAAGTTGTCACATAGCTATCAATATCACATGTGTTGTGTGATAAATGCCAGAATTTACCCCTTTCCTGACAATTGTTTCCCCCAGAATGTGCGTCTAAAAACATTGTATGGTGTAATGATGTGTGGGGTCATAATGATTGATGATGATTAATGAAGTGTGCCAGTCTCACAGTCAACTTATTGGTACCATTGCTGCTCTTTATTTGACAAACTGATGACAACGATGAAAGACCGACAGATTATGTTGATACCTACATTTGCTCCTATCTATCTGTCAGCATGAATCTCACTTAAATTCACCTCACGCAAAGCCTCGTCGGTTGTATTCAGCTGGCTTTATTTGCATAACCAAAGCACTAAGCCACAAAATTAAAACTGCACTATGCAGTTACACTTGAGACTTTTTTTGTATTTTGTATTTGTATTTTTTGTATTTATTTATTTATTGTTATTGTCAGAGAACAATGAAATTGCATTTGGGGCTTCCGTTTTTTTTACCCTCCTCCCATTTGTTGCAACCCTCCTGCTCCAGACCAGTGTCCGGAGCTCTTCCCCTTATGCCCCATGGAGCTCCGGTAGTGGCCGGACAAGCCGCAGATCCAGTTGGAACAGCCTAGGTCGTGCTCCATCATACAAACGCCAGAAGAGGCAGTCCGGGGAGCGACGGTCGCTTCTGTCGGGGGAGGGTGGCTCAAGTTCAGAAGACGGGGAGGGCGGAGGAGAAGGAGGTGGTGGACTGATGGAGGAAGATGACGCATCACTGGCCAGGACGGACTCCATGTCCCAATCGCAGAGAGGGCCCAGGCACAGGAGGATGGAGTCAGTGGAGACTCGGAGCTCAATGGATTTGCCACCTGATGCTTTACTCCAGGTAGACACCTCTAACAGTTATCAGTTTAAACCTCGTACTAATTGTTAAGATTCATGGACAGTATGACACCTGACTGGGAGTCGTAACTTAAAATTAGTTTCCATAGTTTTTTATTTACATTTTTTTCACCTCGTGTAGGTGCCCTACCGGTACCGCTCAGCAAGCATGCACAGCTCCAGACCCCCCTCCCTGAGCCATTTGCGGCCCCCAGAACACAATGACTGCAACGGAAAGGGATCTCCATCAGTCCTGGGTCCCACACACGTCTCGCTGGAAGAGAACACCGAAGACGAGAATGCAGAGGAGGAGGTGAACCTGGTCAGTCACTGTCCAAGTGGGCTTGTTCTTATGACTGGTTTTCTTGCAGGTCTAAGGCCAGATAATTGTATAAGGTTAGCAATTAGGCTAAAAAAGTTTATTCGAATTTTAAGCAAAGGCCAAACTGATTATTGATCGGTTAAGCATGTTAAAAGTCTTCAAATAAATTTGCATATATTGCATATCTTTCTAATTCTTGCCTATTTCACTCAACCCTGTTTATTCCATTGCTGTCTGTGATACATATAAACCAAACAGGGTTTTAAGCATATATATTTCAGAAATTCTTGAACGGGCTTGTGGCTCACTATATGCAACAGGAAGTCGTGTGCAGATGAATAATAAATGCACTGTGTACTTTTTACTCCGTGCAGGGTCGTTTTGCCAGGTTGTTCCGCTGGCTGGAGAAAAAACAGCCGGCGTGGTGTAAGCAGAGAGATACCTGGTCGCTCTACCTCTTCCCTTCAGAGTCAAGGTAATGTTCACATCTCCGATCACCTCCACACTTATAGATCTTTGGCCTGCCCTCTTGTTTTTCTGCCATAAAAGTATCTTTTTTACATACTCATCCTGGGCACAGAACGCTGTTGTTCCAAAAGGAAGCTGCTTATAAGCAGCTTTCTACTGTCGCAGCCATCAGCGTACCAAAAAAAAAGATTGAAACAAGTCATACCATTGCGTCTGACTGACATCCCATGATGCTGACTAAAATGGCAAAGAGTTTTTTAACCGCACTGCGACCGCATCAGCATTTTTTTCCCCTCTGCCGATATCAGCGCCTCTTCCGTCCTACATTCTCGCTTCAGAAGTCTCTTTTATCTGCACATTTCTGCCATGTCAGGGGGTGAGTAAGCGGGAGCAGAGGGAGGAAGGGAGTTTCTCCCTCTGAGTGCTGCATGTTATCTTGGCCACGTGCTGAATCTGTCGCTTCCCTCCCCTTCTACTTCGCCCCCTCTTTCCTCACTCCTCCTCCCCTTCTGGAGCTTTGATCCGAGCGTCTCTGCTGTCTGTTCAGAAGATGTGGCTGCGAAGGCAACACTAAGCAACACCCTGGCCCCCAGCCTGCTGCCCCAGCCACAACAACATGCTAATTAAACATCCCAGAACAACCCGCCATGACAGGAGCTGTATTTTAGCCAATTCAACTCAGAAGATGCTTTAATCTTTTGCTGTGATGGTTTTAATTTAATGATGAATTTGGAAGCATAAGGGGAGTGTTAAAGACTCAGTAAACTAAAAAAGGTTTTAAGTAATATCTATATATCATACTCATGGTTACTGGTTTCAGCTTGTGTATTTATATGGTATGTGTATTTTGTGTTTTTTCCTGCAGTGGTATCAGGGGGCTGTGTTTGTTTGGCTCTGACTGAAATCATTGCTGTATTTTAACAGTGTGCCAGCTTTAACACCACGGGGTTGTGCACTGATTTTGACGTAGCATTTTAATTACTTTGCAGCAATTTATGCCTCAAATTATCCACATTTATCCAAAGGTTTTTTTTCCACCTGAAATCTTTGGACTTTTTTTTGTTACCGACGAGTCAAATAGCTCTTTTTGTATTGGAATTTGATCCACTTGGTTCACTAACATTTAAAATGACAAAAAATACACATAATTATTTTATTTGAGCTAATTTGTGTGAATGTAACCAAGTATAATTCAGGCACAGGGCTTTAAGGGAGCAGATTTACTATGCAGAAAATTCTGGTATTTCTTGCTTTCTTCATAAAGTGAACAACAGTTGATCCTAAACTCAAGTTATACTGACTGATACATTATTTAAACAAAACACTTTATCATATGCTTTAAATTAAGATCAAAATCAAGTGTACGTCCATATTATTAGAGATAATTTCCCATCTGTTCAGTGTTGGAGAGCTACAGTGCATATGCGAGTCTAAAAACTGTGGCTGGTTCTCCTCTCTGTTGGTCATAACTTATAATTTAGAAAAGGTTAATAAGAAAAGCTCCATGTATTCTGCTCCTGTTGGAGTAGTAAGAAAACTGAAGGAGCTTGACTCAAACTGGACTTCTAGCTGGCTTTCAGTCACAGCAGGCTGCGAGAGCTGGCTATCGTTGAGAGTGACACCGAGGACATAGGCTCAGCGTGGGGCCCATTCTGGTCTTGAACCACCGCAGACGCCTGCCTGTGCTCACAATCACATCAAGAGACAGCAGCACGGCGGGAGGCCAAACTCCAGCAGCTTTCACATGGACCCGAGTTCACCTCAACCTGCCTTTTGTGCTACGCTGTTGTTACTGCCGCTACTGATGATTACTGCAGGGGAAGTTTTTAATGAGTGGAGGAGTGGGCCAGCTGTGCAGACAGACTGAGGTACAGTCACAGCGATTAGACATGTTCGCGGTAAGAAAGAACAGTGGTCTGTCAACATGTGGACCAGAGATGTGCAGGGCCCATGCGGTACCCCGTACAGACTGTGATTAAACCCAAAAGAAGGCTGCACTTTGTGGGAGAACTGACACGTCAGCAGATAGTGAGATACAGGCAACAATAGAAGAAACAGGAAGCAGGGAGCAGGTTTTAAAATTCCTTTAAATAGTGAAAGCAATGATGTGTGGCTCGTTTTTTTTATGTGTGTATGTTGCCGCTTTCCACTATCAGGAAATATGTACCCGTGCAGGTTGAAGAAAATGTTAACTGTTCCCAGCATCCGTCAGCTCTTTCCAGGAAGGCAATCATCCAGCACACAGGAAGGGATGCGGTTTATATCTGTGGATTCTTTGGAATGCACACAAGAAGAACTGAGTAATTAGTATAAGTGGATTTTGTCTTTTTTAGCTACAAAGAGGTCATGAAAAATTAAGGCAGAGGATGCAAGCAGACCAGCCAGTCTACCACCTACACTGTTAAAGTGGCAGGGGAATTATGAGAAGTGAGTGCAATTTGTAAAAAGGGCACGAACAAAACACTCAATTGACAAAATTTACAAGTATGCTGAAAAATATGAATTTTGAAGGTGTGAGCAGAATGTGAGAGAACTGTGAGTTTATGTCCAAAACATAATAGTCATGTGAAAAAGGTTTTCACAGGGAGAAACTAAGGAAGCCCTTACTCTTTCCACAGAAATTAAGAAGTTAAGTACCGTAGTTTTCGGGTCATAAGCCACTACTTTTTTCCCACACTGTGAACACAGTGTGGGAAAAAACGGTTCACAGTTCAGATAATTATAAAAAGTTAATGGTGAACTGGACTTCACGCAGAAGCAGCGCATAAACCCCGTGCGGCGAATGCATTTTTTTTTCATGCAGCCAAAAACATTCTTCTTGGTAACAGTAGACCAATAAAATTGATAAGTAGTATATATACGGTATATATTTTTACCGGTTGTTAAGAGACGTTATCTTGTTTGTGCACTGTTCCGTAAAAAAACCATAAGCAACGTAATTTGTGTGTTACTGATACGTACGTATACTTAAAGGTAGCCGTGTTACAGGCGCTGTTTGAGGAAAAAAAGCATTTGCAGTATGTATTTTTGTATGTTTATGTTACCATGTTTATGTTACCTTACAGATTAAATTAAACGTTAAAAATCCTCACGTGTAATATTTCTGTGTAAATATCTCATATTACGAGTGAAACGCATACAGCTTAAAATCCGGTGCGGCCTGTACAAGTACAAAATTGATTTTCTTTCTAAAATTAGAGCATGCAGCTTTTAATCAGCTGCACTCTGTAGTCCGGGACTTACGGTAGCAGCCACGTGCTGCTTAGGAAATGCCTGAATTATAGTGCAGCAGGAAATCTACGTCATAACATATGACGTAACCCCTTCTTAACCCTGTGCTGTAAACTTCCATGCCAGTCACTTCCATGCCAGCGCCGACCCGCTACATTTCTATCTGAAGTGTCTGGAACAATGTCCTTTGGACAGATGAGACCAAAGTGGGGATTTTTGGTCATAATGCACAAACTAATTGAACACCCAATGAGTGTCAAGCACAGTGGTGGAGGGGTGATGATTTGGGCTTGCTTTGCATACATGGGACCTGGATGCCTTGTAGTCACTGAGTGAACCAAGAACTCCTCTGAGTAGCAAAGTATTCCACAGTGAAATGTGAGGTCATTGTTCTGACAGCTAAAACTAGTCTGAAATGAGCTCATGCAACAGGACAATAGTCATAAATGGACCAAAAAACGACCCAGTCAAAGCCCAGACGTCAAACTCACAGACATACTGTGTCAGGATCTTAAGGGCATAACTGCACAAATGCCTGCAAATGAAGAAAAATGAAATGAAGCAACAATGTAAAGAAGAATCCTTCCACAATGACATGACAGATTGTTAATGTCATACATATAAAGGTTACTTCAGGTTATCAGTGCTAGGTGGTTCTGCAAACTACTCAGTCACACACCCCACTTGACTGTATTTACAGTGGTCCCTCGCTATAACACGGTTCACCTTTCGCGGTCTCGCTGTTTTGCTGAAATTCTTTCTTTCCTTTTTTTTTACAGCCCATTTTGTTCTGCGTACTGATTGGCTGTAGACCATTGCCAATCAATCTCATGTCGTGTCTCCTGTACAATACAGAAAGTGTTCAGCAGTGTGACTCTGAAGTGTCGTACTGTATGTTCGAAAGTTTTCTCAAACAAATGCAAAAAATGTCGACGAAATGTTTTGCACCATCAAAGGCAACTGCGGGTGCCTTTGGTTTCATTCTGTAATACTGGACTTATTTTTCTAGTTTCGAACTTTGAGAGTGTTTAAACAAGAGAGAAAAGTGTGGAAATGTTTGAGCCTGTCAGAAAAAAGTGTGTAGTGAGGGGTTTTACAGCCATAAAACATCTATAATAATTGTAAAAAAATAAAGTTGGCTACTTCGCGGGTTATTTTTAGAACCTAACTACTGCGATAAATGAGGGACCACTGTACTGTGTTGATGAGATATCAACTAAAGCTGAACCTGGAAGCTGAACCTGAAAACCAGTTTGTACCACAAGTTGAAGTAATAAATCATGTTAACATTCTAATTAACAATGGTGGCCAGTCTACAGAACCATCAGCAGTTTCAGAGGATTAAGAAAAGGACTTTCAAAGCTTTATACAAGAGAGGAGTTTTCAGATGCTCTTTGTGACATTTGAAAAGCTAAAACTAACCGCAATGAATAAGTCAATGATGTCAGCTGTCATTTAAAAGTTCTGATGCTAGAAAACTCAAAAGGTCAGTAAATATCATCTCAGGGCAAAGCTTCAAGCTCGCGTCGAAATCCGTCATAGAAACACCAAGATGTCAGCGAGTGTTTCGAACGGAGCATTTTCCACTTCATCTTGTAGTGGCAGGTTTTTTTTGTTTTTCCCCCCTATTTTTAGTGTGCATTTTGAAGAAGAGGAGGTTATTTGACTTTGACATGAAAGTTCACATCCAGAGAATGAGCTCTTCTAACATCAGAGGAGGAGCTGCTACGCCACTTTAGGAAAACACACAAACTCTTTATCATTAAGCCTCTTGCACACAGATATGAAATACCACAGCCTGTACGACAATGAATAACACACTCGCATACACACGTGCCACACAAATGCAGCAAGTGTCGACACAGCGATGCTTGTATTGCCAAATAGAGCCTGAAATCCAGATCTGAGCCTCACAATATTCTCCTCTGCTGTACACTTCTGCTGATACGAGGCATCAAAGTGGATTTGATGCACAGTTTAATCCCTGCTGCCATACATAACAAGCGTTCCCTCTTTCTCCCTGCTGTCACAAACCGAAAGCCACGAGAACCTTTTCATGTTGTGTAATGAAAGCAAGGCATAATTAATGACTCCTAAATCTACAGCTCTTCATTACAGAGTTACTGTACGCGAGACAAGCGCTCTTAAATTAAATGAGATTGTTCATTTCTTATGAATGCCCTTGTGCGGCACATAGTATTATTCCAGGTTTTATGGAACACGCCTCCACTAGCATGAGTAGAACCATTTCGTGGCGCTTTAAATGTCTACGCCAGTGCAGCTCAGAGGAAACACTGCACATTTTGCTCCAGTGTTTGTACATCTGAGGGTTTCCCAGACAAAACACACTTGAAATGCTTGTAAAATGTGACACTCTCTTACAAAGTCAATGATCCAAAATCTCATCAGCTCAGCTATTAAATAAAATCAAAGTCCAGCTGACTACAATAACAACGCTACATGCACTTTGATATATCTGTAATAGCTAACGTATGACGCTGCAGTCTTTGCTTATTTACTGAAAACTGTTTCTGTTGCTGAAGAGGCTGATTTAGTTGCTGGTTTGTTCCAGAAGTCAATGTGTTTTTGTTTTTATTTTACATTTTATTTATACAGCACCAAATAACAGCAGCAATCGCCATAAGGCGCTTTATATTGTACTGTAAATACAGTAAAAACCCAACAATCATATGACCCCCTATGAGCAGGCACTTTGGCAATAGTGGGAAGGAAAAAAACCCTTTTAACAGGAAGAAACCTCCAGCAGAACCAGGCTCAGGGAGGGGCTACATAATTAGCTTATTGTCCGCTGTGATGGGTACTGTATTTACACTACCTGTTTAAGTTGTTAAGGCTGCTGTTTTTTCATGTGCCACTGCAGTATCAATAGATATCTTAGTTGCAAGATTAGCAGCAGCTGGTGTAGTTGCTGAGTTGGTGTTGTAGGTTGTAGGTACTGCTATATTTTTTGTTTTGTGTTGGTAGTTTAGTTGCAGGAGGTGTTGCTGTAATTTTAGTAACTGATTTACTTTGATTAGTCACTGTGATTAGTTATTGGTGTTGCTGTAATTCCTGCAGTTGGTTTACTGTTGATGGAATTTGTATTTGCAGGATTTGCAACATACTGTTAAAGGTTTTGCCATAGTTCCCATAGCTGGGTAAGTTTCTTGGATTGCCATCTTTTGTTGCCGTAGTTGCAATGGATGATTTTTTTTCCATGAGATGTTCTGTTTGGTTTAAGGTGTTGCTGTAATTTTAACACTTTTTTTCCTTGCACAGGTGGAATTGTAAATTGCGTTTCTATTACAGTAATTCCAGTTGGTGGTTAGTTTCATAGTAGGTATTGTTGGTTGCAGGTAATAAAGTAAATTGAATTGCTTCAGTATTTAAAGGTGTTGCCACATTTTGGTGTTTTTTTTGTACAGGTTTTGTTGCAGTTGCAGTAGCTGGTTAAGTTTTTGGGACTGCAGTGTGAGCTGCTATGTTTGGTTTCTATCTTTGGCTCTAAATGCAGTACAGGTTGGTTAGTTGCAGATGTTGCTGTAATTCCAGTTGCTGAAATAGTTGAGAGAGCAGCCATGCCTGGTTGCTTAAGTTGCTGCGTTTGTCTAAGTATTTCTGTAATGCTTACACATTTTTTAAACTGTATTATTTATTATTATTTTTAAATGTATTATTGTTCTTATCCTTATGTTAATTGCCGTGTGTCCACAGTTAGATATAGCGGGTTTGTCTACCTCCGAAGCACTGTGCTCATGGGGCGATTGTGGCTCAAGAGTTGGCAGTTTGTCTTGTAATCGGAAGGTTGCCGGTTCGCGCTCAGACAGTCTCAGTCGTTGCGTTCTTAGGCAAGATGCTTCACCTACTGGTGGTGGTCAGAGGGCACTGTGCTCGTTTGCAGGCTCAGAGGAGAAAGAAAGCAGACACTGCCTTAAGGTAGTGTTTAAGGCAGTCATGTGACAGTGGTTGTAGTGTAGATGGATTGGAGGAAATGTCCTGTTAAGGAACATAGGACACTTTATGTACTTTTACTGTATATGCCAAGCCTATTTCCTCTCTCACAGAAATGTCCATTCTTTGCTTTTTGCCTTTTATTTGTAAGGTTCCGGATCCTGTGCAATAAGATCATCACCCACAAGATGTTTGACCACATCGTGCTGGTCATTATCTTCCTCAACTGCATCACCATCGCCATGGAGAGGCCTCGAATCGACTCCAAAAGCGCTGTAAGTGTCACAACATGTCAGGTAGGTAGGTAGATAAAGGAAGACAAAAGGGAATTCCAACCTCTGCTCAGACAAACACGAACGCCTGGAAAGAATCAGGTGTGTAGTTTTCTCTGTGCAGAGAAATGGAGTGGAGCATAGTGTTAACAGGGAACCACTCCTGTTTGACTGCAAGCCAGCAGTGTGTGCTATACCCCTGTACCTACTGCACTACATCATCAACACCATCAACTCTTTCGCTAATGTGCCATTCCCTTCAAACAGAGGACTGGCAGGATGCCTTGCAGCAACACAAACACACACCTAACTCTGTGTCCTTTCCAGCAATAACAGCAGAACCGGGCCCAGAAGTTCCATGCATAAACACAATAATTATCACTGTTTGGTTTTTGTTTTTTTTTTCCTTCGCTGGGCGAGGTGTTCCGCGGATCGGCCTAATTGCAGTTCAGTCTCGCTGGAACGTGGCGTTTTGCTTGTTTTGCGACTGAAACACGGAGGAGACAGCACTGTTGTAATTGATTCAATTATCCGTGGGCTGGTGTACGTGGCTAATGTCCAGGAAAGGAGATGTTTAACAAATGGAGGCTGCCTCCACAGGCCGCCCGTTCTCATCAAGGCAGAAGGAACGCGCACACATACACAAGCATTGATTTCTCCCCTCTCACGTCTGCGAAATCCAGCGCAGCAGCCGCTCTAGGATTCACATCAGAGAGCAGTATTTTCAGATGCACATATATTTCGCCAGCTTCCTGCCGTGGCCGCCGTGTCCGGCCTGCACCCAGAGGTCGTTATTGAAATGAGATGGAAATGTATGACGCAGAAAGCAGCCTTAAACAAGTGAATGAGCAGTCATTACAGTTGCGAGCTGCGATGCTTACTGCTACAGACCTCATTTGCCTGGGTGGTCATTGCATGATGCCATTTGTTTGTCTTTGCGGGTTGTTTTGAATTAATGAAGCCGACTGTGAATCGGCTTATAACATCCAAACATGTATATTTTATCACTCTGCTACTCTTTGAAAGTACCTGCTCTACATCACCCCACTGCGCCAACTTGACAACACATGTAATTTACTTTAAATAGAAATGTCAGAGATAAAGCGTCTCAATCACAACATTTTAGCGTGGAATGCACGCTACATAATTAGCTTATTGTCCTGGAAGTTATGTCACTCGCATTGCATTTGGCTTGCAGTCCATTACTGTTTTGGTTTGGTGCTGTGTGTTGCCTGGATACTGTCGTCCTGTAGCTCAGTGGAAATGATTGAGGATGATTATAGCACCTATTATGATTTATTATTTCTAATTGAGCTAGGGGACAATGCATCACTGTCTAAAGCTCTAAACTGAATTATATCAGCGTGAACAGGATAATGTACGATCCATCGAAGTTTTCAGGGGCCGCGTCATCGCTCCAGACCACTTTAGAATAGAAGTGCCGCTAGACACAAAGAGAAATGCCAGTTTCTGCCTTTGGTTGCTGTTTCTCAGCACAGGCAGATTGATCCACATTGTGTTTCAGCACTTTTACGGCAGCCCCTCTGAAAAGTACAACAACAGTATGTTGCTGGGAAAATACATATCTAGTTCTTTACAGTATAAACAGGTGTAAATGGCTATAAACAGTTAATTACTGTGAAGTATATGCAAAATGTAGCCTGAATTAATTTGTCTGGGTTTTGTTTTTTAAACTATGACAATACCACATTTGTGACACTTCTCATATTCCCTGGGCTGTATGTTTAATGAACTACACAGCCACAAAAACCTTTAAGAAGTACAGAATTAAGATAGAAGTGGTGCTCTACACAGGATGTGATGAAAGATTTATTTTTTTATGTGCATGACTACACGGTGTTCATTATATAACTAATGATACTGAGTTCCTTTAAAGAAAAGAAAGGCACTGAACCTCTAAAGGGCTTCCAGTGTAAATCACCTACTGAAAGTGTTTAGTAATGGATTTTGCTTTTACTGGCATATGGCTAAGCAAAGTACCTCTAGGTCATAGCTGGCTTTTGCCACTATATTTAGCATTACTTCAAACTGGGTCTGATTCCTGGGGCGACCAGACTTGTGGTCAGGCAAACAAGATTCCAGGTGTTGAACTGCGAATAACAGCACCACCACCACCGGAGATGAAGGTTAAGAAGCAACAGGGAGGTGCTTTACTCCTATTGAGGGTGCCCGGATTCCTGTCACTGTCCTGCCTTAGGCTAAAAATATATCCAAGATGTAGAGAAATAGACCCAGAGAATATACATAGACAAAAGTTTATTGCCTCATCTTTTTTGATGATATGATCAAGTGAAATGAAAGATGACTCATCTTTTTTTTTGCCATTTAGCTAGCTAAAATGACACTGGTTAACTGCAGTATTGCAGCTAGTACACTATATTTAGCCTGCCTGTATATCTTTATTTAGCCTGCTATATGGTTGGTGATATTAAAGTCTTGTTTGTGGCACATTAGTATATGTGAGGGGGCAAACTCCTCAAGATGGGTGGTGACCATGGTGGCCAAGAGGGTCATGTGACACATCAAACTTATTGGTAATGTCACAAGAAAAACAATGGTGTGCTTGGTTTCAACATAACTTTATTCTTTCAGATGTTGAAACCAAGCACACCATTGTTTTTCTTGTGACATTACCAATAAGTTTGATGTGTCACATGACCCTCTTGGCCACCATGGTCACCACTCATCTTGAGGAGTTTGCCCCCTCACATATACTAATGTGCCACAAACAGGACTTTAATATCACCAACCATTCCCATGTTATTACAGTGTATCCATATAAATGGCCCACCCTGTACATTTAGCTGTCTCTTCTTCAGACCGAAGAAGGCCCTTGAATGAACAACAAAATGTTTTCTCCCACTGAAAATGCTAAATCCTAATGAACAGAATCAACTTTCTGGGATTTCCTTTCTCAGTGATTGAGAGCATGCATCAGGGCAATTAACGCTCTGCAACACTTAAAAGGTAGCCCAATATTAACTCAGTCAAAGTATCTAACAAAAACAAGCTTTATTAGCTAATTTAATTCACCTCTGGCAGTCACCGAATTTATTACAATTGTATTTCTGGTATCTACAGTGGGCAGCAACCTGCATTTTTTACTAAAAGTTACAAAATGTTGGCTCTATCTTCTTCTACAGGGTTCTTAAAAATGTGTGTTTAGGGCATTAAACACCTATAGTTCACATACTGTGGTCCAGAATAGTGGACGACTTTATGCTTTATGTCTGCTTTTTGGCTAGAAACATCTGGCCAATCTGGCCAGACACATCTGATGTATTCATTGGAGTGTAAATGTGTGTGAATGTTACGGCGTTTTCACACCTGTAGCTCGTTTACTCTGGCCCAAATCAGTTGATGAGTTTGTAAACTTTAACTTTTTCCAGTGATTTGGTTTGTTTTCACACAGATGAAATTTATACTAACTTGCTGCATCCCAGAACACACAGTATCCGTGGCTATGGGACTTTTTAAACAAACTAGTAAACTGAACCTGGTAGTTTGTTCAGATCGGGGTCTGGTCACCTGTTTACACCATGAATGAGCTGCTATGGAGTTAATTTGAAAACGTGCTGTGACCACCGCCTCCAGTTTGTTATTTTTGGTCTGCACCCGAGCGTGATTACTGTGTTCACATCTGCACAAACGAACCACAACAAAAGGAAAAAACGATTTAAACAAACTAAACACAGCAACTGTGAAAACCCCCTTAGATAAAAGACATTAAAAAGGTGCTTGGCTAAGTGAGATATATTATGTAATGTTTCTTCCTGTTAAAAGGAAGTTTTTCCTTCCCACTGTCGCCAAGTGCATGTTCATAAGGTTTGTGTGATTGTGGGGATTTTCTCTGTATTATTGTTGGGTCTTTACCTTTCAATACAAGGAGCCTTTAGGCGACTGTAGCTCTGATTTGATCTTATATAAATAAAAGTGAACTGAACATTAGACCGAGAACAAATTGCACTTTTTGCAGCTTAGTTAGTGACGCACACTTTAAAATTTAACATCAAAATTTCTGTTGCTTTGTAATGAATGGAGGTATGAACACTTGTTTACAGAGAACAGGAATGGCTAATGTCAAGACTGGAATTTATAAACCCTCGCTATGACAGCATTCCCAGTGATGTCATGCCTGACGTTCCCAGAGACTTCAGAAAAATCGCCACAGGACTGCCATCTCTGTTTATACGTGTGTGCATGACTTTGCGTTCCACTGAGTATGTGTGATGGTAGTTGGAGGCCGTGGGAAAGAGAGCCACCTAAACCCACACACACGCTCACATGCACACATGTACATTCAGTGGCAGGACAGGGTCGTGTCTCCTCAGACAGAGGGGAGGCAGGGTAAACAAGCACTCAGTGAAAGGATCTTATTCGTGCTTGTTTTCTCTCCTCAGTCCTTGTTTAGCTCAGTAAATAGGCTCCCATCCTCTCCTGCATGCGCACACACTAAACTACTGAGAGATACTGCTTCAGGCAACAGGGGAGCATGGGAGCGCAATGATATGACTGTGTATAGATGGAGATATGGTGTTGAATTGTGTGCATACACACAACTAATTAATGGTGCTTGTTTTTGAAAATGACTCTCTCATGAAAAAATAAAGCATCTGATGCAACATGCTTGTTTAATTGGTGAAGTGCCAATTTCAGCCTTTAATTGTTGTTTCTCAACACAAGCAGTGTGTGTTTCACTGTGAGAAATTTCACAGTTAACTTACAGTGAAGTGCTGACAGTGTGATTTGTCAGCAGTTAAAAGCTCAGTGTGCAGTATAATGTACATTATACTGAAAATATGCTTTGCAGTATAATACTGTTCCTAGTGAAATCTCTAGAAACAGCTTATTTTTGTAATATATGACTGTGTTTTTAGAACCAATAATTATTTTTTTTTAACATGATAGTAGTTTATTCTCAAAATTCCACCTTTCATTGTATCGTGACAGTAAAAAAGAATCATCCTTCTAATAAACACCAATGACTGCAGGAGTCTAGATCACAGTGGAGCCACACTGCTTGTGTGTGTTTAGTGTTTTCCCAAAAACTAGAAAATGCCGTATTGAGCAAAAGTCATGAGCTCCCCTTCATTTCTTTGCATTTTGTTAGAAAAATGGGCAGTAGGTGGAGCGACTTATACATGGATTACAGAATACAAGGCAACAAACTATGTTTGTTATAATGAACTTGAAAGCCAGAGCCATAAGCTTTCTAGTAATAAGATAAGATAAGTTAAGAGAAGTTAAGATAAGATGTGACACGGTGTGGAAATTTTTGCATCACCTCAGCTCAGGTGCAGATAGCAGAGAAAAGAATACAAACAAATATAAAATAAGTAAGATAATACACTATATACAACGGTAGCATACACAGTATGTGATTATGGATATGGTTGTGGAAATATGCAAGACATAAATTTAACTATTCTGTTAGATATCTATAAGTATAGACATGTACACGCACACACACGTACACACATATGTATACATATGCATACACATATACTTGCACATGTCCATACACATAGAAGGTGCATTATGTATGAAGTGGTGTCCGTGGATGTCCACAATGTCCAGTGACTTGTGACATCGTGATTGAGGAGTTATAGATTCTGACTGCTGTTGGGATGAATGATTTGCGAAAGTGCTCCTTCCTGCAGCTCCTTCATGTAGTCTTCAGGAATAGTTCTCCAGGGTTCTTGAAAGCCATTCAAAGCTCTTCTTTGTATTGCCTGGCATTTGTTCCATTGTTCATCCCCCAGCGGCTGCTTGATAGCCACTAGATGAATAGTAGATGGATCACCTGACAGACCAGTTGCATCTTTCAGGCCCTGTGTCAAATCTTTGCTGGATTTTTTTTTTCCTTTTTCTTAAGGACATGACTTTCAGATACATTTCATCTACTTTAGATAGGGTTTTAGGCTTTCCACTTCCTGCAGGACACACTGCACAGCATGCCAAGATATGGCTGATAGCTCTTTGGGAATCACAGTGATGGTGCAGATGTACTATTTGATGTTTGTTACATTGTGTTGTCTCTGCCATTTTTCATAGATTCAATAAAAGAAATTGGAATAAATGATGTGTTTTTGCAACAGGCTCTTAGGTACAAAGTGCCTGAAGTGTTTTGCTAAGTTGACACAACATTGGTTCGTCCCTTGAGTTAGGTGTCGTTTTTGTGATTGAATGATTCATAGGTCAGTTTAAGTGGCTTGACAAACAAACACAATAAAACAAAACATTATTGAAAATGAGGTAAAAGGACCCGACTAAAACTGAGTGAAAAAGCAGCCAATGTCCAAAGAAAACTGTGAAAGACATTCAGGAAGCCTGGAGAACTACTATTCAAGACGCTTTTAAAAAAGAAATGAAGAACGTCAGGTTCCTTGGAAACAGAATAATAAAGAAATGAATGATGACTCAAAACTTTTGCACAGTAATGTACACCAACACAAAATAGCTGAAATAACCATTCCTGTGCTACTCCTCAAAGGCACCAGTGCTTTCAGCATTCAACTGTATTTAAAAGAACAATTTTTTAAAGTGTGCTGTTGTTATTATTCCACTTGTTCCCAGTGTAGTGCTGTTTATTCAGGGAGTTGAAGAGTTTTTCTATCATTGCATTGTTTTAAAAAACAAAAATTCCTTTTTTTCTTTTATTTGATCTCATTTATTGTCTTGAATTTTACCCCTCGGGGATTTATGAGATATTTGAGTACATTTTTTTACCGCTCTTATAAGGTTGCGAGCATAAATACCAAATCAGATCCCTTGTTTCAATATTTCATGTTGTTTTAATACAAAGTAAACTTTATAATTGCCTGCCAGCTATCATTAGAGAGCGTACAATAGGGGTGTTTGCACAAACATGTTTTCAGATAGTGTATGTGGAAAGCAGCTCTCTCATGCATTATTCAGCTGTACACTAGTCAGCTTGGAAGCAAACAACAAACTGAGTGAAAAAAAAAGGTGCTCAGAACATTTCATGAGAACTACCTCCGCTCAACGAAGCCTCTCTCTCGCTCTCTTCTTTCCTTTTCCCTTTTGTTTGGCAGGAGCGGGTTTTCCTGACAGTGTCCAACTACATCTTCACAGCAATCTTTGTGACTGAGATGACTGTAAAGGTGAGTCACGCTGAATTGCCAACAATACCTTTTAAACTCCAGTGCAAAGTTTGTGAAAGGCTTTGCTCATTTTAGCCACTGTGTGAGAGGATGTTGCATACTCCATACTTACTTTTACCCTTTTAAAGACTCAAATATCTGCTGTTCATTCTCCCATGAAGTTATCCCTGACTCCTGTTTTTATTCACTTAGTTGATTTCAGCTCTCGTGCCTCAAAATATTTGGTAGGTCAGGTTATTTTGGTGCCGTGAAAACACTGGTTGCCTCGCATCGAGAGCTCGACTTTGCTCAACTTTGCTCTGAAGTTTAAACGAAAATGATTTGACACCCTGGTGTTTGCAAACAAAACAAAGATTTTTGCATGAGAGGAAGAAACCCAAAGCGCACTCCCAAAACCTTCAAGACGCAAAGCTGTAGCGATAACAGAGTCTGCCTGATACCTGCATGTAGTGGAACGATTCCATAATAGAAAAGAAAACAGAGTGGGCATATGGAGGGGGAGGGAGGGGAGGGGGAGAACGAGAGAGGTGAACAGACAGTGAATGCACACCTTCTGAGGGCAGTTTCATAATGCTAAGAGGAGGATTGTCTCGCCAGTATTCAAATGGCCCAGCTTTGAATGGAGGTCCATGGCGGCGTGGGCAGGAGCTCGCGGAGGCAGAGGGGAGGAAAGTTCATCGGTGTCACTCATTCAAAGCCTCTTTCTCTATTTTCGGTCCCGGCGACTCACAAACGTTGGGATTGCACACAAATACGCACACACAGAGCACTGGTTTTATCATCTAATGCTCAGGGAATCTGTGTGTGATGCAAAAATGTAACAGTGGCGAATGGTTAGCATGAAAGATTTTAGCATTTAAAAAACAAAACAACTATGCGTCTACTCTTTTATCTCGTGTTTCAATTATAATACTATAATAAGTCTATTGCCCCATTTCGGAGGGAGTTTTTATTTTATTTAATTTTTTAAAAACAGCTGAACACGGAGTGGAAGCCCTTCATATTAAAAATAGATTGCATTGTTAAATATTACACATTGTATTTTTACGCCTGTTGACTTCTGACAGATGTTTAGTGTGTAGTTGATGTCCCATGTTGCCCTCAGGTGACTGAGCTGTTAGCAGTTACATGAAATGCAACTGAATTTTTCATCTATACTTTTTCAGTGACTGTATTTAAATATTATATATTATATATTCATCTACTGTACATTTATTTATTTAATGAAAATGAAGCATTGTGTGAGTAAGTAAGTGCTGTGTAACTGTTTCCATAGGAATTCAGAGGGTAAGTAGCAGCCAGAATTAAGTAAGTGGCAGACTAACTGACACGTAGTCAAATGGTCTTGACTAATTGATCATCAGCAAGTGTGAGCACCCCCATAAAACCAGAAGTTTGCACATTGTTTGGCAGTTTGCACATCTGGAGGACTTAGATCTGTGTGGTCTGTCTGTTTGAAAGGGTTATAAGGCAATTTACAAACGAGACAATTATTCTACCGTGAGAAACATTATTCACAAGGGGAAACCATTTGAGTCAGCTGCTAATCTTCCTGGGGTAGATGTCCCAGTAAATTCATATCAAGGTTGTGCAATGCTCAGAGAAACTGAAAAAAACCCTAAAAACTAAAAAGTCACTACATGCTTCAGTTAAATGTTAAAAGTTCATGGGAGACTGAAAAACTAAGGCTTGTTTAGAAGGGTTATTAGATGAAAGCCTTTTCACTCTAAAAAGACTATGGCAGCACAGCTGAGGAAAACTGCAGCTGAACAAACCAAAAGATTTCTAGAACAACGTGTTTTGAACAGATAAGTCCAAAGTGGAAATGTTTGGCCATAATATATAGCAAAAATCAAATATTGGCACAAATGCTTCAGCTCTAAAGCACGGAGGTGGAGGGTGATGATTTGGGCTTGATTCGCAGCAACAGGACATCAACACCTTGCAGCCATTGAGTCGACCATAAACTCCTAGGACTGCCAAAGTATTCTTGGGTCAAATGCGAGGCCATGTGTTTGAGAACGAAAGCTTATAATAATAACAATAATAATAATAATGGATTGCATTTATGTAGCGCTTTTCGAGACCCTCAAAGCGCTTTACAATTCCACTATTCATTCACTCTCACATTCACACACTGGTGGAGGCAGCTACAGTTGTAGCTACAGCTGCCCTGGGGCAGACTGACAGAAGTGAGGCTGCCGTATCGCGCCATCGGCCCCTCTGGCCAACACCAGTAGGCGGTAGGTGAAGTGTCTTGCCCAAGGACACAACAACCAAGACAGACAGACCTGGGGATCAAACTGGCAACCTTCCGGTTACAAGATGAGCTTCCCAAACTTTATCATATAACAGCTGAAAATGTACAAGAGAACAGCTGAAAAAGAAGAGAGTCAAGTGTCGCAATGGCCTTGTCAAGTCCAAATCAAAAACAAAGGCCTCTGTAGCAGCCTTTTTTAATTAATTGTCCGCTATATTGATTAGTATCGACTTATACAAACGATCTTATCGCCTCTCATCTTTTCAGTTGGAGTATTGTGAAACTGCATGATGCAAAAACTGTTGTCTTGGCCTAATTTAATAAGTTTGATCTCAGGGAATAATGTTCTGGAATGCATATCGCTTCATCAGCAGAATACGTGATGAGTGAAACCTATGGAAATAGACATGAAGTTTTGAGCGCTTGCAGCTTTTATGATCATCACTGCCACACAAACAGTCACTTCACTAAGTCAATAAGCTGGGCGTATGGGACATTAAGCACCGACTCCTAATAAATAGAACACTGGCTTGATAAACAAATTGCAGCCACAGTGACAAAAATAGATATTAAATTACTGATTCGTGTATCATTTGTCAGCCACTTATATTCATGGTGAATAATTCATTTGAACTAATATCCAAACCAAACTGGCACTCCGCAGTCTAAACTCAGTGCTTTCTGCTTTATAATAACATACTGTTGTCTTCTTTGCTGTCCAGATCGTGTCTATGGGCTTTTTTTTCGGGGACAAGGCGTACCTGAGGAGCAGCTGGAACGTTCTGGACGGGATGCTCGTCATGATTTCTGTTATTGACATCCTGGTGTCTCTCATTTCCCAATCCGAAACCAAGATCCTGGGCATGCTCAGAGTGCTGAGGCTGCTGAGAACTCTGAGACCGCTACGGTAAGTGACTGAACGTCATAGATAACTTCCCCTGGGGATGGTTGTTGTTAGCATTTTATTGATAACAGCATTGACACCAATACTTCTTATCAATTCAATTCAATTTTATTTATATAGCGCCAAATCACAACAAAAGTCGCCTCAAGGCGCTTCAAATACTTCTTATCAATATACGTATTTGCTGATATTCCTGGCCTGCTGTAAAATGGATATGGGTGCTTTTGATGCATTAGCACATTTTTTTCATCTGAGCTTCACAGCAAGCTGGTATGCAGTACTGTACTTCTGGAGCAAGCAGTTGTGGTAAATGCCTTATAGTTGAGAACGTGAACAACCACAGACAATATGCAGTTGTTTATCTGTGGTTGTCAGGACTGTTGACACCAACTTTGTGTTATTTTGACTAACAACAACTCAGACTTACTTTAATGGAGATAATGAGTTTCTGTGTGGTCATGGTACTCTTGAGAGGTTGAGAAAAAGAAGGAAACTGAACTTTAGGTTTGATGTTTATCCAAGAAACTTGTCTGTGAAGGTTTTTAGTCATCCAGCTCATCGTAGTCTAAAGAGCTTGGAAAGAAAGGCATCTGGACTGAAGTTTCACCGCTCATCTGAGAAGCTTCTTCAGTTCTAAGAGCAACTGGTGGAGATTCCCAGATTTGAAGCCCTATGGGAGTGTCCCCAAGAGGGTCATGGACCCCCTATTGATCCTCAACCTAATCACACAAGCCAAGCTGTGTAGGTCACAATCAGCCAAGGTTTTGGGTGAGCTCATTGTGAAACCTAGCCCCACCCTATCATGTGATTTACTGAGGTCAGATGGTCCAGGATGTGAGCGTTAAGGCGTCTGGGGAGGGATCTCAAAACTGGATTACAGATGGCAGACAGTTGGTGTCCTAAGCCACCACCTCTGTTCAAAGATGATTGTTCACAGTGGACATAGATGGCTTTTCCACTCCTCTTTCAAACCATCTGTCTTCTCTGTCCAAAATGTGAACGTTGGCATCTTTGAAAGAGTGACCTTTGTCCTTTAGATGCAGATGGACAGCCAAGTCTTGTCCTGTCGAGATGGCTCTTCTATGCTGTGCCATGTGTTTATGAAGTGGCTGTTTGAGAAGCTTTGATAATCTCAACCAGTTGCTCTTAGAACTGAAGAAGCTTCTCGGATGAGAGGTAAAACGTCTTCAAAAAATGAAAGAAGTCCAGACGCTTTTCTTTCCAAGCTCCTTAGATCCTAGAACCTTCTTCACTTTTACAAGCAAAAGGTGGAGAGTCCAATATATTAAACTCCAAGTGTTTCTTTCTATTAGAGGTCCTGTTGATCATGTGAGTGGAAAGTGTGAAAAAGGAGTAAGGAGATGCAAGTGTGTCAGTGTGTGTGTGTCTATGTGTGTATGCATTTATTTTAGCATGCATTCATGTTAATGTCAGCATGCACACAATTTCACAGTTGTGTTTATTTGAGCGGAAATAAATCAGAAATCACAGATTTGAACATCGTTTTTGTATTTTCCAAATATTTGCACTGCTTTGAGTTTTATCTATTCTGTGTGTGTGTGTGTGTGTGTGTGTGTGTGTGTGTGTGTGTGTGTGTGTGTGTGTGTATGCGTGCGTGCTTGTACACATGCAGCCTCTTGGATGTCTCATCTCGTGAAGGGGAGCTCTCCAGGCTTTGCCCTCTTTTGAATATTTATCACCATTCTCAGGAAGAGCACAAAAATCAAATATTCATTTTCATCCTGCCAAATTTACCCGCTGAGCAGCACTGATCTCTTTCCCCCATCCTTGTGCTTTTTTAACTTTCACCTTTGACATGAAAGTGAAATGTTTTGACGAGACTGCTTTTGCTCTCCTGCGTTCAAAGCGCTACTTTCGTCTTTGACTTCGTTCTGTAATGTTTGGGTTTAATTAAACCGGGTGAATTTCCAGTTAGTTGGCCAGGTTCTGTTTTTTTCATCACTTTTCTGTCACATTGCAGCCTTCAGAAGTTACTTGGTTTGGGGTTTGTTTGTAGTGTTTTCTTCATGTTCCTACATGTAGGCATCAGTAGTGTAGTAGCTACAATGCTGTTCTTTTTAAAAGAAACTATGCTCAAAACTGGATTAACCTAATGTCCACATCGTATCTGTGTTAGCAGCGTTTACTAGTATATAACAACAGTTAAGTGTCTGTTATCAGTCACTGTAAAACCTTCTACAACAGCAAAGACTGTTTTAATGCAAACTGAGGATTGTGTGGGTTGAATGAGAAATTGAGGCATAAATATAGTCCCTTTTAAACTATTGTAACAAGTAATTAACTTCTAATCTTTACTAGTTACTGGTTTGTGCATGTTCTGTTTAACGGTTACGGATGCTGCTAAAAAAAAGGCTTAAATAGATATCTCATTAACCCTCTGAGGTCTAAATTATTGGCGATGACGCCAATCCTAGCCAGAATTTGCAACTTTTGTTTTTATTAAATTGTTCACTCAAGTCTACTCGATCAGGGACAAAGGACGTAACCATTCTTACTGACATGCACTAAAAAGTGTTCCATTTATATTTGTGTTGGCTTTTTTCTGTTTGTATGAGTTAGCGTTATCACCAATGACAGCTTAGACAAGGGGTGGGGGAACTCCAGGCCTCAAGGGCCGGTGTCCTGCAGGTTTTAGGTGTGTCCTTCATCCAAATGGCCAAAAATTACTGCTCAACATGTCATGAAGTTGCCTGGAGTTCCCCACCCCTGCCTTAGACCTTAGAGGATTCATAAGCAACTTCTTGCAAAGTGCAATCTTGTCAGCAAAACTACTGAGTTGAATTGCACTGATCTTGTTGGTGAAGTGAAGCATGGGCAGATGAAGGACCGAGTGGAATTTGGTATGGATCCATAATTATTCTCTGCAAAAAAAAAAAAGGAAAAAGAAGAATCTAAACAGGGAATTGGCTTTTGCATTGACATTGCCATTGGCGCTGACACTGGCATTTGCATTGGCACTGGCTTTGGCAGGGGAATCACTGTGAGTGCCCTTTTAGAAAGCCCGTGATCTTCCTGTGGATAATTCATTATGGATATATGTTTGGGCTTGCAGTCACACTGTGGGATGAATTTGTAACTAATGAAATCCCTCAATGCAAAAAAAATCAGTCTTTCTTCAGCCCTGGTGCTGTCTTACTGAAATGGTAATGTGACATTAAAAGTATAAGCTTGCTGTCAAATGAGTGGCTTCCTAATTAAATTTGGTGCAACTATGACAAACTGAATGCTTGAAGAGATTCACCTGTTCCTAAATGCCGCTGAATCCTCTTTAAGTCTTCCTGTTATACGCCCTGCTTTATTTAATCCTCAGATGACAGCTGAGTTTGTATTAACAGGGCTAGCAACGGTTTTAAAGTCAGATTAGAAAAAAATATGAAACAATTACAAGAGGAAATTGGACCCATTTTGAGTCTGGGGGAAATATTTTTAGGAGCAAAGGGCAACAATTTCCTTCAGGCATGATGTCACCAGTTTGACGGAGATGCAGAATGGCAGGGAACGATGGGCAGATCTAGACTCGATACAAAGAGAGGCAGAAAGCAAAGGAGAGAGAAAAGACAGGAAGAGAAGAAGAGAATAAGAAAGAGCTGAGCTGTGGAGCTTGGTTCTCTTCTCTGCTGAGGCTGCAGATGAATTAAAGGAAAGAAATACCAAAAATCATTTTTAAGTTATTAACTTTTAATCCATAAGAAGGAGCGCAGCTTTAAAGGCTATATTAAGCTATAAGTTTGCTGCTCTGGTTTATACGGTATAGTCTGATTATAGTGTACTCGGTACTTAAAACTGTTGCTTGGAAGATGACAACACTGACTTCAGAAGCGAAACAATTATCAGCAAAAAATTGTGCTTCTTGAAGCTAGCTACTACTAAAACTAATACTGAAGTGCTAAAAGCTTAATCCAGCCTCATTGGGAAGATGCAGACGCAGAGCACTGATGCCTGTAGCTGTGTTGGCACAGATGATTTCAAACATTAACAGGACGTTGTATGGACATCAACATTAGTTGTCAAATCATACTCCCTCACGTGTTTACTAAACAAGCTAACTAGCTAACTTTTCCTCTCTATTTAAGCAAAAAAAACAAATCGCATAAGATGCAGGACCACTGATAGCTGCTACATAGTGCAGAAACTGGATTATTTAGGTTGGGCAGGACCCAGGTGCAGCCATTGGAGACAGAGATAATTAACTAAAAAGCAGCTTTATTGCAAAATCTAGAGGCTCAAAGGAAATACAAAAAACAAAATTAGGTACTAGGAACCGGAAACTAGAAAACATGTAAACTACTAAAAAAAAAGGAACTCGCAGAAAAAAAACAAAAAACACACAGTATGAGCTGACGACGTGACCACGAGCAGAGGGAGACTGAAGACATAATTACAGAAAAACTGAAAAAAAAGTCTACAGAGAAACAGATACGGGGACAGCAACAATGGAGACAAGAGATAAACAAACATGAAGACAAGGCTGACTAAACACAGGGGAAGACGATGCACTGAAAACTCTAAGATGACTAAGAACTGAGGGCTAACTGAAGCATACTTTATACACAACGTAAATATAACCATGAAACTATGAATCACACAGAATATTCCAACAAACAAGTCTGGAAACACAGAAAGACCCAGTATCAGGACAATATAGTGTTATTTGTCTGAGAATGGAATAGAATACAATAGATACTTTAGTGTCATTTACAACACAGAGCAATTATTCTAGTTAGTTTAAGAACAGAGTTTCGGTGCATTGACTTGCCATCAGATTAATGTGAGATTTCAAGGTGACTTCTTGAAATTACATATTAGGAGAACAGAATAAGCACAAGAAATGTATGAATGGCTAGTAAGATTCTTAATATCAGATTTTAACTTTCAGCCAAAGTAACTGCTGAGTCCTTACTTAGGCTGTAATGACACTAGAGAAAACAGTGGTTGGGTACCATAGTGCAACAAAAAACTATTACTACTTATGATCTTGCATA